TTTCCTGATTAGCTTTGCAAAAAAAAAAAAAAAAAAAAATAGTAAATACGAAGCACCACGTTTCAGACAGTAAGAGATAAGAAAACATGATGCTGAAAGTCAGTCCAATTGTTTCCCCACTTTGAATTCTCTCTATTCCAAAACACCCCACTGATATAGGCCGGCCAAACTTTTATGTTAGAGAAAGATCTGAAGAGTGTATTAGAATCAGGAGCTATTTTACTCCAAGTCTGACCCATCAACACTTGCTAGTTGAGCAGAGCTGCTTTTTTAAACCTATGAAGAGAGGAAAAGGTCACAGACCCAACCACACGCGTTAAACATATTACAAGCAATTAAAGGAAAGATAATTTGGGAGATAAACACTTGAGAACTGGAGAGGTTTCTCAACCGGTGCAATTAGAATAAATCAGCAGCGCGGCCGCTGTGCCAGCCCCCGCTCCCGGAGCTCATCACCATCATCATCATCATCTCCGCGGGACGAGGGAGCAGGGAGTGACCGCGGGGCCGAGCGCCAGGAGCGGGACGCGCTCGGAGGGGGAAGAGCGCGGACGGGAGCGGCGAGAGCCGCGGGACGGAGGCGCCGGCAGCGGCGGGAGCGCTCCGCAGGTGCGGCGCATCCCGAGCCCGGCCGCCTCGCTGCTCCCCCGGCCGGGGCCGCGGTGGAGATGGGCGCGGGGAGAAACTTCTCCGAGGCGGGCTTGGCTCGGCCCTCCTTCTCCCAGCCCCCCGAACAGCGCCGAGGGGAGCCCAGCCCGCCCCGGCCCCTCAACCCCGCCGAGGGGAGCCCAGCTCGCTTCGGCCCCTCCATCCCTCCTTGCACGGGGGCCGCTGCCCGGTGTCTCTCCGAGGTGAGCCCGCCGGGAGGGAGGGAGGCAGGTCCGCCCCCGGCCCCGGCTCTCCGCCGCCGCATTCCGGGCACCGCGGCGGGAACGTCTCCCTTTTGTGCTCGGCATCAGCATCTTCCCCCGGCGGGACGGCGATGGACGCGGCAGCCCCCGCTCCCCCCTGCCCGGGCAGCATGCCGCCTCACCTCCCCTTCCAGTTGCACAGGTCGCTGGAGTACTGAGCCGCGGCGCCGCCGCCCAGCAGCAGCCGCAGTCCCAGGAGCAGCGGCAGCAGCCCGGAGACCGGGGCGCTCCGCATGGTCCCCCGGGCCGGTGCGAACGCGGTGCAGGCGGCGGGGAGCGATGTGCGCGGCGCCCGGGGCTCGCCTACATGGTGGGGAGCGCGGCAGGGCGGCGCGGCTACCCCATGCCCGGCTCCCGCATCCCGGCTCGGCGCGGCGCCGCTCGGCTCTGCCGCTCGCACCCGCCGGCTGCGGGCTCCCAGCTGAGGGGCGGGAGCGGCTCGGCCGAGGGCCGGCTCCTCCTCCCCCTTCCCCCTCCCGCCGCTCCTCCTCCGGCAAGGCCGGCACTTGCTGCGCCGGCAAAACGCGGCGCCGGATCGGGAGCAGCGGCCGCCCGCGGCTACGGCGCGTCCCGGGCTCCGCCGCTGCCCCGAGCCCCCTTGGCGGATGTCCCGGCCCGGGGTGAGAGCCCGCTCCGCTCCTGCCCCGCCCCGCTTGCGCCCAAGCTGCCCTGTGTAGGGAAGGGGTGATGATGGGCACGACCGAAGGGTTTCGTTTGGCCGGGAAACTTTCTGAGACGCGCCCTCCGCAGCC